TCGTTCAAGTGGCCGCATGGGCAGCTGTGGCTGTGCGGACGCAGGTGTGCCCGAGCTGTCGTTGGTGTGACTTAGGCCAGCGTGTCTGGAACGGCTGAGTGCAAAAGGGTGGATGGCCCTCAGTCACCGATGTCTTGAACAGTGACGTCAGACCGGTCATGATGGCTGCCCGATACAGCACATAGCCATTAAAGTGGAACCGACGGAATCCCAACCCGTCCAAACCTGCTTAACCAGTTGCTGGATTAAGATATTAAAGAAGACGCAAGCAGGGCTCGTGTAGACGGATGTCCGATGCAACCGAAGTTGTCCTACAAGCATTTCCGTCCTTGAGACACAGACAATCACCGGATTAAAATAGTAAGGAGGGTGTAAACACGTGATATATGTAAAGCCAACGTAATCGCATCTACTAAAGGTGTTTTAGAAAGTTCACGATATGGCATCAATCAAGTGGGACTGCAGGATCAAACCTCACCACTGCTGCCTTTAAAGAGGCAGAACATTAGCATTTGAACCATTCTTGTTTAAATGTAGCTCACAGATCATCCTGTTGGATTTCAGGGCACGAAGAAAACAAAACCATAAAGTTTCATCTGCTTGTGAGCCAGTCTGCTCCGTTGTCACAAAATGTTGCGACGTTAACTCCTGGCACAAATTTTGGCTTTGTAGGCTACAATGGATGATCTTAGATGTGCAGCCCAGGTTTTACGATACCTTTTAAGTTGCGATTCTTGCTTGTAGATCGCAAACACTAGCTGACATATTCGTCGTAGTTATTCCGTTTTTCGATAACCGACTCAGCTATGTGTTCTTGAGCTTCTTATTAGACATGTACGCAATTGAACACAAGAGATGTTGTAAAGAAGATACACACGATCTCCGGGACAGTAGGAGTATTAGTCTGAGTTTTCGGTCTCTTACAGGAGGCCATCGTCAGAGACTGTCTCCGGTAGCCACTCGTACCCTGGAGGAAGGCCACGAATTCAACTTCGCGAGCACGCGGATAGTAGTGTGGGTCAGCAAAAAGACAGGGCGAGAACTGTTGGAGGCCTGGGTGTCTGACACCAACTCTATCAACAGGCACATTGACATACCCCCCTGCTATCACGCGCACCGTTCCCGCGGCCAAGAGGCGAGACCCAATTTCCAGTCAAGGGCACACGCAGCCACGCCGCCGTGAGACGGCGTGGGACTCAGCTTATCGCGAAAATCATCCTCTGCACTCATATCCCCTGCCCCTCCTGTCTCGACTGCAAAAACTTCACATTTGATGTCGTATTCTCGCAGTCTCTGACGCTGGCCAAAAGCTCAGACTAATACACCTACTGTCCCAGAGATCGTGTGTTCATCTTCTTTACAACAAGAACCTAGGCTTCGCATATTCGCTTACAGCAGATGTTGTCCTGAATTTATACAGATAGCCCGTAAATTTAATACCAGAAAAGTATAATCGCGCAACCGTTTCAAACAAGCTATATAATAATAGAGTCGAAATCGAGACCATTAAGGCCGCCGAGAAGCATAATAAAGGACTGAACGACGATGTAATGGGTTCGAGAGTTAAAGTGATGTGTTTGGGATATTTTGTAGAATATGTCCCCTTTTGCCCCACCAGAGAGTGGCATCTACCTTTGTACACTCGCAGTCAGGATGATAAGAAGATCTAGAGGTCGTTATTCATAAGGGAAGGAGTGAAGTACATACAGAATGCATCTCGTCCACCAAAGGATCAAGGTGACAGAACGCTGTCTTGCGTGACGTCGTCTCTGTGTTCAACGAATGGCCGGTCATTATGCGAGGAACCCAACAGTGCATGGCTTAGCCGGACAGGAAGCCTGTAAACCTAACTGCCCTGGGCAACAGAAAAAAAACGGATCCTCATACATACCTGATCTTTGCCGATCTTTCTCTAAGATCAGTGAACGTTCGATTTGTTTCAACCCCTCCCTCTGACTTCACCCATACCGTGAACATGGGAAGGGGGGAAAAAGACCAGTTTTTTTTAATTTTGCCTCCGATTGCCCTGTAGACATGTATTAAAACTTGCACCCATGCATTCACTCGTCTTCAGGAGCACTCTTACCCCTATTGGCCGTCGAAGAGATCTGCGAGGTACCAGTACTACGTCATCGATCCAATGGTCGAGTATAACATGCCAACCTACACTTTGCGTGAGTTCAAAGTTACAGACACGCGAGCTGGTGTTTCAAGGACCGTTCGTCAGTTCCAGTATACTGAGTGGCCCGAAATGGGCATGCCGGACAACTGCGAGGCCTTCACGAACTTTATCACGCAGATCCACAAGACAAAGGACCAGTTTGGCCAAGACGGACCCATTACAGTTCACTGCAGGTTGGTTCTTGGGGCCCTTTGGCCAAATATGGTCGAGATTTTTTTTTAAATAAAACAAGCGTACACATTTATGAAAAATGGATTTGTGTTTTAGTTGTGGTTCGGGTCGCACGGGTGTATTTGTCCTGCTGTCCATTGTACTGGAGAGACTGCGCAACGAGGGTCTTGTGGACATTCTTCAGACAGTCCGGCTCCTTCGAACGCAACGGATTCATATGATCCAGTCGCCAGAACAATTGCAATTTTGTTATAAGGCGGTTCTAGATTACATATCCTCATTCAACACATGCGTTCGATGAAGGTGAAGACGCTGTGCATGGATTGCCAACTTTATACATAGAACAGCATTAATCTATATTTGTACACATCTATCATACATCTCTGAGGCAAAGCACAGCGATACGCAGACTTTGCGTTCATTGGCCTAATTCTTTCAAGACTATCTATCTCTGAAAGCCCATATTTCAGGCTTGATGCTGTCTGCCTCAGAATCAGTCAAGACAACCTCCTCAACCCTTCCTCCTTGTGACACCTCGAATTTCCCAAATGTATCTTCCTGCTTCGAAACCGCCGATGCCGTCTGTGTGTATTTGCGTGCATTCTTGTTTGTATATTTCGCTATTATTCCCATAGTACTGTAAATGACCATGTAAGCGAAATCGTAACACTCGCGTCTGCCTCTTGTTCAACATGGCTTACTGTCTGTGCTCATCACCTCTGGTCAAGGGGTTCTCTAGCTGGTGAAACTGTGCATATGGATGCTTGATTGTAGACGGGAAGCAGCATGACCTCGCAGTCAGTCGTATTTGTAGAGGGACCGACTGGTGAGTTGAGATTCAACCCCCTACTATAACATCTATGGCATTCTTACACATGTAAAATCCGAGCCGCCCCGCCCCCCCTTCGTGTGGACGTCTGGTGTGTTCTGCGTGGTTCAGGTCGTGTTTGGTACGCGTAGACAGGATGTTTATTATTTGTCAGCTACTGTGCCCAATTTCAGCATCAGATGACAACTGGTTCGGACAGCGCACTGATGCATGCGAGAGGGGAGAAATATTAATGCTGACAGAAGCGAACAGGCGAGGTTCAGGTAGCAGTTCAGAAGACGAAGATGCGATCATTGGTACAAGAAATTTATTGGCCCGACGTTTCGGATTCTCACTGGAACCCATTATCCGAGACAGTCGCAGATAAGGGTAATGGTGGCAAAATGAGTGCAATATTTATAACGCGTGGCTGCCGTGGGGCCATGTACGTACTGTAATTAACAGCTCGCGCAATCACCGCTGGCTTGTCAGTCCGCGTCCGAGTCCTTAATTGACGTGATTTCGTCATCTGTGTATGATGCTGGTGTGACGGTAGCTCAGCCAATTGGCTCACTGTCACTGGAATATTTGCTCCCCCCACGTGACTGACTACACGGCCAAGAGAATATCTCAGCACTCAATACGGTAACGGGAGATCACTGTGCCTGGTGATGGATTGCGGGCCTGAGAATCATGACTCAAGCAGCTTGCGGCTCACGCGGTAGTCGTCCCTTGCGAGGAGTTCGGCCTCTTGAAATTTGAAAATATGGCTGTGTCCTGTCGAGTGTGCCGCCATCTGAGAGCCAGCGTCTCCCCGCCTCGCCGCCGCAGCGTGTTCGGCCATTCGCGTTCAGAGCTGTCTTCCAGTTCCGCCGACTTAGTTGTTTTCTCCGCAACTGCACCAGATCCGATAAAAGACTCCAGACCCTTCCTGCCCTGGCAACGGGTCTCTCGGTTCCATTACCTGAAGTCTGATGGTTGCCTCCGGTCTGCGTGTCACTCCAACCCTAAGTGGTGCAGTTGTGGACAAAGTAACTATGTCGGAGAAACCGGAAGACAGCTCCGAACGCGAATGGCCGAACACGCTGCAGCCGTGCGGAGAAATGACGCCGACTCTCAAGTTGCGGCTCATTCGACGAGATCCGGCCACACATTCAAATTCGACGAGGCCACAATTCTCACTAGAGCGGGCAACAGCGTGAGCGTCGAATTGCTCGAGTCATTGTTTACTGGTCCCAGTCCATTAACAAGTGCAATGGCCTTCCCCTTCCCTACTCGGTGCTGAGACTTCGCCTAGACGGAGTAATTAACCACGCGGGGAGCGCACAGGTGAACACTGTTCCCAACGCCTTAGTCGGTGGTTCAGATGGTCGAGCAACCATCATGCCAACATCCAACACGTGATGAAATCGTAGCAATTAACGACGCGAATGTCAGCTATCAAACAGTCATCACACCAAGTGCAACGATCCCTGATAAAGGGGGAGACGGTAGCATGGCGACTGCATCCTATAAATACTGCAGCCCCTTGTGCATGCAGTACCCCTATCTGCTTTTTTCGCTGGTGATAGATTCGGGCAGGAATCCAAAACGTCAGGCGAATTAAGCTCTTGTCCCAGCGATCATGTCTCTTCCTTCATGACTGCTTCCTGTGACTCGTCCCTTCGCTTCTATTGGCAAATCAACATCCCTGCGACTGCCGTGCTGCGGTCGTCGTCAGGACATCGTCGCTCAGGACGTTCGAAATGATAGATCTTGAAATGAACTGAGATGTGACGCAGCACATATCACTTGCGTTGCAAGAATCCCTTGTTGGACATGTCCGTAGTTGTTAATTTTCTGTAAATGCATGCTAATTTCTGAGCTGGGGTTACATCGTCAGTCTGAAATTAATGGTATATGCACTTCGGAACCAGCTGCGACAGCTAAAGTTCAACGACTGGCCTTCAGATACTGGCTAAACATTTTGTCAAAAAGGGTTGATAGTCTTCACCAGCCATTTGCATAAAGGGAAGACGGATGCTTGCGTGTTTCATGATTTGGCCTTTGACTTTGAGTCTGTTCATCGGAATTGCCAGGGACCAACTCTGTTGATGAGTTCCTCTGCAGATGTCTGTTATATCAGAACACAAGTCAATAGCCCTCTGTGCAGCGAAAAGAAGAGCGTCTTTGATGTCGCCGTCCGGGTCGCGTTCTCTTACCAACTGGAGGATGCATTAGACTTCTCGTCAGTCGTGGGCAGACCGCCTAGACGTTTTAGTATGTTCAGGACGTTCGAAATGAGAGACATCGAAATGAACTGAGATGTGAAAAAATCGAAATGTTTTCTTGTCACGCAGCACATATCACTTGCGTTGCATTAGTCCCTTGTTGGACATTTCCGTGGTTGTTAATTTTCTGTAAACGCATGCTAATTTCTGAGTTGGGGTTACACCGTCAGTCTGAAATTAATGGTAAAGACACTTCGGAACCAGCTGCGTGGACTTCTAACCAACAGGTCGCGAGTTCGAGGCTCGGGTGTTCCACACTTCGGGCTTGGGTATGACTGGCTGATGACGGCTAATAAGCCAGAAATGTTCATTCTAGTCTGCCTTGCCTTTGTCGGTAATGCTATTCTGCCTATATATCATGCGCCGCCGTGTGGCTGCTGGTTGGGCTCGAGAGAGACAGCCCGTAAAGCACAACGGAACGAGTGAGTTCCGTATGAACGATCGGTGAGCCCCCTACCAGGGTTGATAGTCTTCTCCAGCCATTTACATAAAGGGAAGACGTACGCTTGCGTGTTTCATGATTTGGCCTTTGACTTTGAATCTGTCCATCGGAATTTCGAGGGGCCGACTCCGTTGATGAGTTCCTCTGCAGATGTCTGTTATATCAGAACACAAGTCAATAGCCCTCTGTGCAGCGAAAAGAAGAGCGTCTTTGATGTCGCCGTCCGGGTCGCGTTCTCTTACCAACTGGAGGATGCATCAGACTTCTCGTCACTCGTGGACAGACTGCTTATACGTTTTAGTATGCCCTGGTCTGTGTATTTCTCGCGTCCAACCTTTGCAAAAGTACACCTGCCCTCGTTCGGGACCTTGTTTTCAGTATGTTATTTCGTGCAGGCGACTTCACTGTACACAAATGTAGAATATTTCATAAACGAATGTGGAGGTGACACGTCGGGGTTCATTTCTGCAAAACATCTGCAGAACAGATCGCGCATTAGTGTATGACGAAGAGGGGAGGAGCAGCGGCGATATATGGCAACCCGAAGACCACTAGGATCACAGGTAATCCAGGCCAGTTAGTGGGTCTGAACAACTGGACAGAAATGGCCATCTCGGTTTCCTCTGTTTTCGGCGGTACATCTCTTCACTGCATACAACACAAGTCGGTGCTTATCTCCGAGAGAGCTAAGTAACTCAGCAAGCTAGCCCTAGTGCTCGCTGAGTTCCTTTTTAATGAGAACCGGTGGGAGAGTTAGCATAGCAGGGCAGTAATCAGCAGCAGTGAGCTTAAGACTGTGTCGTGGCAAAAAAAATATAAAAAGAACGGACGAGGGAGAGGTTGATTAATTTAAATTACATTATGAACGATAGGCGGCGGTAGAAAGAAACAAGAAATAAATCATCGAGGACTTTGTTCCGTATGAATCTTCTACAGTCACGAGCAACGACGTCCAGCACTGCCCCACGAGGTGAGCCGGAGAACAGTGAGTTTGGAGTGAATTATTTTATAACGAAACGGACTTGTGCAGTGCCTACCGCGCTCCCTCCTATCGCATCCACTTTCCTCCAAAGACAAGAAAGTGTAAAGAAGATGAACACACTATCTCTGGGACAGACGGTGTATTAGTCTGAACTTTCGGTCTTGTACAGGACGCCAGCGTCAGAGACTGTGAGAATGCGACATCAAATGAGCAGTTTTTGTAGTCAAGCCATGAAGGGGGGAGGGCATGAGTTCAGAGGGTGGTATTCGCGATAAGCTGAGTCCCACGCCGTCTCACGGCGGCGTGGCTGCGTGTACCCCTGGCTGGAAATTGGGTCTCGCCTCTTGGCCGCGGGAACGGAGC